AGGAGATAGATAAAAAATTCTAACGACTAATGTGGAAGGGCAATCATCAAGATTGGTAGAGAATTTTAGGTATAATAAGCTGAAATGTCCTGATGATTTCCCATGAAAACCTTGAATGAAACAAACTAAAAATGACAAAAAGAGGTTGCGTAGGTACGAACAACTGTTTTGTGGCATGCATTAAGAATATGTCAAATAATGAAAAAAACAAAACAACTTAGTTTTGGTCCTGCTGGAAGGGCAGCTGCATTGGATAAAGGAATATCTTTATCAGAGTACCAAAAAATAAATATAAAAAAAAAACATGACATGTAACAAAATGATAAAACTTAATCAAATCTTTGTATAACATTCTTATTGGATTAACCTTTAAACTTGAGAAAAAACAAGTTCTAAAACATTTGTGAGCATTTTTCTTGCTCAAAATTACTTCATTATTAATAAATTATTAATTCATAAATTGCAGAATCTACAGACTCGAGTTTTCTTTCCAAGTTTATAATAGTGTAACAATAACAACATAATATGGAAGCATAACAGGAAACAATATATTTTAAACAAGAAACAGTATTTTACGACTAATAAATATAACATTTATCTGACAGAGGAGACATAGAACACTAAACAGATGTAGTATTCTGTAAACTAGCCACTGCATAGCCTACAAATTGGTAGTATAGGTAGAGAGCTCATTCAAGATCAACATTTCAGGGTGCGTTAGTCCTACCAACCACACAGAACCTATGTTTAAGGATGGCATTATCTAGTCCTAGCTACAGCCCCGAAGTACACATGGATTAATTGAATCTCATTACAAAATATATAGCATTGGAACCAAGAGATATAAAAATTAAAATAATCTGAGTAAAGTGTACTCTGTAAACATGATATCAATATATCCATGAATGGTAACAATAAAAAATTTAACTAATATAGATAAAAGTAAAATTGATGTAATAATTTTAATTCTTATAAATACTTAACATTATGATTATCTCGATTTACAGAAAAACTTCAAAATAGTAAACTTATAACTACATTTTTAGTTAATAAAGCAACTATCAATTAAACTTTGACACATAAACTATATTTTAAATTAGTAACATTTAATAAATAATTGACAAATCATGTATTAATTTTTAATAAAAAAATGATTGGAAGTAAAATATAGATTTTGATTAATTACAAGTTTGGAACAAAGATTACCTTAAGATGTCTTTATGTATTAATAAATCTTAAAATTAGGGAATAAACAAACAACAGTGAATAAAAAAGATTCATTCAAATAAAGATGGAAGATGAAAATAAAAGAGGGACAACAAAATCAAATTCAGCTGTTACACAACATTAAATTTCAATAAATTGAGATCAAATGGGCACATGTTGGAATAGTGCTCCCACAATTTAATTTCTGGTCAAAACTCATATAAAGGTGCATTTAAATATTTCACAAACTAAGGAAAACTCAATTAATCTAACTCAACTAATAGCGACATTAGCGCTAAGTCCATAATTTTTCTATTTGTCTTGTTACCGATAGCAGATGGGAAACATCAAAAAACACTGGAATATGGAAAAACCACTTAAATATTTGTGTTTCCCATAGTTGGTGACATATCTAAATGCACCTTAAGAAATTTTAGCATTTAATGTTAGCATAAAGCCAACTTAAGTAGGTAAAAATAGATATTAAGTTCAAGATAACTCACCTTTTTGTCTTAGTTATTAAGTTGATTAACATGGCTAATAACTATAATATAATAGTATTTTACTATAACTAATAGTATTTTTGTTTTTAAATAATTAGAACTTAAGGATTTAGGTTTTAAAAACAATTAGAACAATTAATTATTACAATATAATGTTTGTTGCATATTTGTACGATTTTTTGTCTTTTTTTTTTTCGTTGATATAACATATGCAGGTACAATTGATTTTTTAATAACAAAAAAAAATTATTTAAAACAATATTAAATTCAGTAAATACATGGTCAATAATTATTGTGCATCAAACAGACAGAAATCTAGGCACCATATTCTAACAATGAAAAAATGTATTAAAATTATCAATCAATGTCGAAGATTTAAATGAATGGTTTTCCTAAAAGAAAATTTAAAGGATTGAAATATGTAAATATGATGCTGAATCTTATCTAGATAAATAAACAAAGATTTTTATTGAACATGTGAAACTTTATCAAGAAAAGTACAAATTTTTCCTAATTGATGAAGATTATAAGATATTACTCAAGAAGTGAACATGTAGGAATGCAGACATACTACACTGTCCATTGACACATTCAAAATTTACAAAAACAAATACCAGTAAATATTATTCTGTGAAAGAATAGTTTGTTGCATAGAATACAATTTGATACTAATAACTTACATCAAATGAATATGCCACAGATAATACATATCAGGTTTAAATACCAGAAAAAAATGTAAAAATATATTTTAAATTTCTAGATGCACCTCTCTAAATAAGAAACTCAGTTTATAAGAGAGTATGTTATGCACATATAAACATAAAGTCAACTCGGATCACTCAAGCCTTTATTTAAATATTTCAAAATTTATTCAAGAAAACTTTATTCAATCAAAAATGAAAGTAATAATTGTTTTACTTCTTTAAGTCAAAGAAACAATATTTACTACTTTGACTGAATATAGTTTCAAATTATTAAAAATATTATCTCTGTTAGTCAAATTTTCATCTTTGACTTTCTTAAATGAAAGGTACCAAATGTCTGAAAATATATTTATTTGTTTATTTCTATACATCCATTTTTCTTTATTTAAGCCTCTATATCTCGAGGCTCGTGATAAAATATTATCTAAAATTTTTAACTTGAAGTGCTTTAAGATTCTGTAATTTGAGCTATTGAATTTTGACAGTAGACATGCGTGTAAATATAAATTATAGCAAAGAAACTTATTTTATGATTTCACTTCAAATTTTAATTTTTAAAATAATATCGTGTAGTAACAAATTAAAGAAAAAGTCTAAAATGATATTAAAAATAAAGAATCAACCTATAATTAATGTATAAAATATTTGATAAGAACTAATACCACTTTTCGTGATATAGATAAGCTTTTGATTATTTCTACTTCATTAGCTTCAAAGCAATTACGGTGGTAGCTAAAAAATACTAAAACTCAGTACATATAATACTACATCATACAACACAACTATCCAACCTAGATTTAATTTGATGAAGATGCAATTGGAAGTGATCTTAATTTTAATAAAAACAAAATTTGAATATTTTAATAGTTATGATTATCACTAATGCTAAAACAGAAAAGACATCTAACATAGATGCACAAGACAAGAAATATGACTAAATCACCAGACTCGACCTATGTAATTCACCTACTAACACATGACTAAGGTTCGGAAGCACAACAAAACAGTCATTTAAGAGCAGCTAAAAGCTCTGAACGTTCTTTCGAAATTAAAGAAAATTATTCACATAAAACTGTGACAAGTAGTATTTTATAATTTTTGTGAATGTCCTAAACATCAATTGCACATAATAGTTCTAGCTCTTACTATTTTTTTTGTGGTAAAAAACTTACTCAAATCAAGTAATGAGACTAAATAACAATAAATGTAAAATATTGAATAATTACTTTTAGATAGATAGATAGAACATTGAAATAAAGTTGAAAACTTAATTGTAATGTATATATAAATAATCAGCCACAAAAAATCATATAAACAGGAATAAAATAATCATCAAATAAATATTCTATTACGTTGTGGTCCCTATGAATAAGTGGTTAAGGCAAAACTATCAACCATTGAAAGGAGTATTTTTAAAGTTTGATTACTTTCCATAATTGGCCATATAGGAATGAGCATGTTACTTAACACTGATATACTCCTTTTCCCACACTTTTATTTCTGACAAAGTCATTTATAGACAAAGTAAAAACAAATTTTTAATACTCAAAGTTGGGTTCAACTCACACATTTCGGTTTGTTATTTAATAATTAAAACGAGAAATAAATGTGAAATAAGAAAATAAATGAGTTACTAGCATTCAATAATTACAGAGGAAGATACAAATAATTGGCAGACATTGTGTTTAATGTTAGCTTATAATTAGAAATATCCAATCACACAACCTTGAGTCTAAAAGGTAAAAAAAAAACAAAAAAAAAACATTGAAATCAGACATCATCAAGACAGAAAACACCTTAACACATATTTGGATGTCATGGAATTATGAACTGTTTCGTGTTAAAGTATCTTTCTTTTACTGTTAATGAGATATCAATTGTACTTTGTCGGTAAGCATGTGATTTAGGATGTTTTCTGTCCAATGATATCTGAATTGGTTAGTTTGTTTTTTCCTGCATTTTAAAGACACAAAGCTCATGTGTTGCTTGCTTACTTGCTATTAATATAGCTTTTTATGTTAGCTAAAATTTATTAAATTGGTTTAAAATAATTAAGAGCATTTAAAACTGATAATGAAAGAACTACTTCAAATTTAAAGTTTCAGAATAAGTCAAATTCCAAAATTAAAATAAAATATCTTCATTTGTTTAAAGATCTACTACACCCTATTAATAAAATAAAAAAGTTATGTTTACTAAATCTAGCTATTATTTTATAATAATTTTATTATAAATAATTTCTTTTATCTAAACCTTGACCAGTTACTATTGGCTGAGCTGAGGAAGTGTGGGGGAAAAGGAATAGAATGAAAGAGTAGAGGGGTGGAGACGACCCTCTATAATAGATAGTTATTTTTTCATGGCTGAGTATTGAAGACAATTGAGTAATAATAAAAATATTGAGATGGATGTTGTAAAATACATGAAAACAACAAATTTCTAATAAAACAGCATACAAAAAAAAAAAATCATCGACGATTGCTTTTGGCGAACACATAAAGCAATGCACCATAATCGAAATGATGCATAATTCTAGTATTTAACATAGTCAATTTAAAAAAAAAAAAATGTTGAAATACATCTTCATAGCAACTTTGACTAAGTCAGCCAAATTAGCTGGGAGGACCATGACTTGAAAGACATAAATAGGTCAAATAAATGATCTTATAATATCATTCATAAATTTTCAAGTGAGTATAAACTCTTTCTCATACCTTCATAAATTATTTCAAGAGACATATAACTTGAGAATAAAACATGGCACCAATAATTATGAGTGACTGTCATCTCACATAACAGTTAGTAGCACCATAAATTCCAATAAATATCATAATAAAATCAGTATTACCACAACATTAATCAGTGCTTTATATAAAATTATCATCTCAATTCTCAGTTTCTGTAGTGAGAAAATGAACTCGATGAGTGACTAGGATTAGGCGGACGACCCCATTCAATAGAAAATTTTTTACCTTCGGGCAGATACTGAAGAGCATCTGACAATAGCTGGGCTCAGGTGAACGATTTCATATTCAGCGTAGCCATGAGCTTGTGACCAGTTACTTTGATCACTTCCTTTAAGTGTGAAGCGTGTGCCGTTTGTTGGCAAGTCAGTATGTAGCCTTCGAACTCTTTACCTGGTGGAACTATTCTTGTGAACACTTCACAGCTTAAATTCCGAGCAAGATTGTTAAGGACCTCTGTAAATATATTAAAAACATTGAAAACAGTTTTTACCCTACAAGTTTTGTGATGACCAAGACATTAATAAGAATAAAATAGAACAGATGAGTTGTAACACACTAATAATTATTGAAAATTAAAAAAAAAGGAATTTTCTATGATAACCATTTTCTCCAACCACAAATAAGGTATAATATTAGTTTTGTTAACTTAAGTTAATTTTGAATAATGGATAAGACATTCTATAACTCTGCCATAGACAATATTTTTTTTTAATTTCTCATGAATTTATGTTGTGATCATATTTAATCCGAATAAGTTCATAAAAAATGGTTTAGCAGTACAAAAGAACAACATTCTTTAGAAATTAGGAACAACAAATTGTCTAAAAGCCACTTTTTAGGAATAATATTCAATATTTACTGTTCCAGAGTTTTAAAGACCTCTTGTCTTTTTGCACAACTAAACCATTTTCTTATGAAACTTATGAGGTTTTAGTGTTATATTGTAGCCATGAGAAATTAAAAGAAAACTATCAATAAAATAAAACAAAAAAAATAAAAAATAACAACTATAACTCTGCCATAGATAATTTTATTTTAATTGAAAACTTCTTTAAGCATGCTTAGCACTTTACTTTGTAGTTATTAAATGAAACTGAGTTGACTAAGTTTTACTAAAATATTACAGAAATTAAAAATCGGACTTGCATACTGTAAGCAAGAAAAGGTTCAGCATTTCATCCTCTAAATAACGAGCTGTTATTCAAAATTGTAACTTATCATGATGCCGTATTAGAGTAGCAAAAAGGTAAAAAGATAGTGTTGAAAACCATCTATCTAAAAGATCGAAGAGTAAGAATACGAGGCAACTTCTATGAAGTCGAAGAAAGAGTGGAAAGGGGGATGTCTGCAGGGCTCCGTCCTTGGACCTGCCTTTTGGAAATTAGTTTTCAATGAGTTGCTTGGGGTATTTGAACAGGAGCGGTTCTCTGCCATAGCCTATGTCGAAGACCTGGTCATAGTGGTGGTATCCAGCAGCAGAGTAGGCTTGAAGGGAGAAGCAGAAAGATGCACCAATCTTGTCGGAGAATGGTGGGAAGAGAAAAGGCTGAAAATGGAAGGTGCCAAAACCCAAGCTATACTTCTAAAATGGCTCACCCTATTGTCATGAATATACAAGAGATAAGGATAAGTGCGAGTGAGAAAGTAACCTATCTTGGAAGAAGATTAAATGTTACTCCTCACTTGGATTACCTGAGAAGTAGGGTGATCCTAGACCTCAATGGAATAAGTAGTAATGGTGGCGCCATCTTGGGTGTCATGTACCCAGCAAAGATGACTATCTATAAAGAAGTATTACTGGGTATCTTGAGGTACACCTCCCCAACTTGGAATCGTAACCTCTCACAACTACAGAAGAGGAGATTGGCAACAAACCAGAGAACGGCTCTGCTGCAAGTAACAAAATAATACAGGACATTGTTGCTCATGAAACAGTGCAGGTTTTAGCAGAAGAGGTACCTCCTGACCTTCTGCAAGAAGATAAGCTGAAGTATATTCTTAATAAAAAAGACTTAGCAAGTCTTCTGAAAAATCTCCAAGAAAGAGTTGTGGCAGATCATGATCATTTCAATCACCACTAACGAAGAACGAAGAACTGGAGGATGAGTGATAGAAGTATCGGGCTACTTCTACCAAAACTCTGTATTGCCAAGAGACAAGGAAAGAATAAAATAAAATAAATATAGTGTCCAAAACCATGTGATAATGAGTTTTTTAAAACATTTGATTAAAATATCTTAAAAACTAAAATTTGGACCTGGATACCGTAAGCAAGAGAAATTTTCAGCATTTCATGCTTTTTGTAATGAGCTATTATTCAAAATTATATTTTGACGTGACACCAAGTAAATGAGTTGGAAAGAGAAAAAAATGGGGGCAAAAACCAAACAATAACAAATGTTTTGAACATTTGGATTAAAATATTTCAAAATTTAATGATCAAATATCATGAAGATCATGATGAATATCATGAATTCAAAATATCATGAAGAATTCAGAAACCTATATGCAGAAGTCAATATAGATATTTTTGACGATGATCAGTCAGAGCAAAGTTTACCAGAGTAATTAATACACAATTATAATTGTATTGTAAATGTTAATACTTTGTGAATATAGAACAAAAATAGTTCATAAACAATTATAATTGTATATACTGTAAATGTTATTTCACTTCTATATAACGAGTTCTTTGCCATATCTTATGAGCTTTTCATTTTTGTACGATAAGATGTCTTATCTCTGGTGAAATGTAATTATGGTCATGTTTGTCTGTCTTTTTGTTAGAGATATTAGAAGTCCACGCTGAATTTTGTATTGTTTGTGTGAGATGATGAACTGCGTCATCCAAGTCTTCAGGTATTCTTATATTAGTGTTCAGTGATAATGAATTTTCAATGGAAGATCTAAACTTGTTCCAGTCAATTTTTCCAGGTGTTAGTGACGATCGAGGAGATTTGGTTATAGGTTTTGAGTCTACCGTTAGAAGAAGAGGGGAGTGATCTGAAGATAGGTCAGTAAGATTAGTAATGGCACAATGATGTATGTTTATTCCCTTGGCAATGAAAAAGTTCAAAACGTCAGGAATCCTGTTAGCATCGGTGGGCCAATATGTCGGTGAAGAGGGGGTTAAGCATTTACAATTCTGAGCAAGAATCGCATTTTGAAGGGCTCTGCCCCTAGAATTACTGATTCTGCTGCCCCATACCTGATTCTTAGCGTTGTAATCACAGCCACATAAAAATTTGTTACCCAAAGATTGTAAAAACTGATCAAATGTTTGGATTGATAAATTCTTACCAGGAGGGAAATATATAGCTGCTATGGTAAGGTTAAAATGAAATATATTAACCAAAATTAATCCAAACTTAAAATTTTACTTCCTCCGACCTACTATCTAATATTACTTTCATATCTAACGGATAGAAATTTTGTAGTAAAAGTAGGGACAGAATGGTCTGACATTAAATCTATTAAAGCAGGAGTACCTCAGGGTAGCGTCCTTGGACCAATATTATTTAATATATACATGTCTGACCTACCGGAACACAATGACACAATACTGGCTACTTTTGTAGACGATATCGCAATCCCAAGCTCAGATAAAAACCCTGTTCGAGCATCTACCATTCTTCAAAATCATCTGAACGATATTGCAGATTGGGCCACAAAGTGGAAAATTAAGATGAATGAAAAAAAAAGTGTGCATGTGGTATTCACTCTCAACCATAAACCTTCACCTGAAATATATTTTAATAACATTCAAATTCCAACATCAGACGTAATAAGGTATTTAGGTTTTTACCTGGACAAAAGACTTACTTGGAGGACTCACATCAGACAAAAACGAATAGAATTAAACAGACGATACGGTATTTTATCCAAATTATTTGACAGACGTTCAAAATTATCTTTAACTAACAAACTAACCCTTTATAAAGTTTTACTTAAACCTATTTGGACTTACGGCATAGAACTGTGGGGTTCTGCTAAAACTTCCAACATTAAAAAAGTTCAGTCCTTTCAGTCAAAAGTGTTGCGAAGGATAGTTGAGGATAGTTTTATGTCGCAAATGATACACTACATAAAGACTTAAACGTACCTACAATTTTAGATACTGCAAAGGAGAGATACAATAACTTTCACCAAAGACTGAAGTACAACATGAATCCCCTGACAGAAATCCTCCATCGTACAAGAAACCCGTAGAGCCCACTACGACGATTACGTAGGCATTGGCCAAGAGACCTGCTGATCTGATTTATATCCCAGACGTGATAGGAAGCTGTGAAGCTGCCAACAAATTTGCTCATTGCAAAGAAATTTGCAGATTGCAAATTTAATCAAATGTTCTATATTTTTGTTTCGTTAATAAATAATAAATAATTTTTACAAGATAAAAATTACCATCTAAAATTTGAGGATAAATCTTAGCATCATTCTCTTTATCTACTTCGGATTCCTCATCGGCTTTTGACTGAATAGTTGCAATGAGATGCTTCCATTCTGGTTCCGTTGATAGCATATCCTAAAAAGAGAAACTAAAATAAATATTTCTGAACACTATATTTTGTCTTTGGTAAACAATTGTAAATATTTAATAAATTACGTACCACAGCATATTGAGGCAAAATGTTGGGGTATTTGGAAGCAATCATTTCTACAGCTTTATGTGGTTGAGAAAGAACCAATAGATTAAAACCAATATCTTCTGGTATAAACTCGCTTACAAACTGAACTAATTCTAAAAGTACATTTTCATCTAACCAACCACTGCAAAGAAGGCACTGAAAACAAAGTCATATTTTATTATTAACAGTTTTAAGAAATATTGGATCAAATTAGTTTATAATAAAATAGATATATGAGATTAGTATCTTTTATTAGGCTATTTATTTTTTAAAAAATATGACTATTAAAGCATTGGAAATAATTAACTAAGCATTGATAATAAAAAAAAACACCACTATAATCGGAAAATGTTTTTTTTATTAAAACGCTGAAATGTTACTTTGTTTTAAAATAGAATTTAATAAAATGTGTTAGAATTCTATAAATGAAATTTTTTTGGGGAATATAGTGGTGTTTTTTTTATAATAAATGACTGATCAATTATTATAAAAATAAATAAATTGTTTTTCATTTTTTTTTTTTTCAACTGTTCAAAATCAGTATTCAAGTTAATAGATTTTTTTTTAAATGACGTACTTGATATGTCTGTAAAGGGAAACCATAGAACCATTGTCTTATTTTATAAATATATTTAAAAAACATTAACCACCAGTATCAAAGAATATCCACTCCTATGGTTAGTAATAATTACCTGAAGTTTGAGCAAAGTAGAATAGGATTTGCGATCAGTCTCAGAATTATTAAATGGAGGTAAAAGCTCGAGGAACTGGGGTCTTTTTCCGCCAAACATACATTCCACTTCTTTACTATATTTTTCTTCAGGTTTTGTAACAGCTGAAGTTTTCCCAAGATCAGATTTAACTACTAAATTGCTTAAGTAAGACCTCATCAGTATCTAACAGAATTGTAAACAGAAAAAATCATTGTATTTATAATTTATAAATTTGAAGAAAAAAAATTATACCTATAAGGTACTAACTAACTGATATATCTTAGTAATTTATGACAATATATAGGATTTTGAGAATATTAGATTAACATTTATATCGGAAATTCTCCATAATCAGATATTTTATCAACAACAATAGTGCTCCATACACACATAAAGGGTACTTTAATTTATTTTAACACTAGTAAAATGAGAATCAATGCCTGGTATCAAAAATGCAGCTGGGTAAGCCTGTTGACATAATTGGGTACCCGGGAACAATACTATATGAGATTAGCTGGGTACTATTTAAACTTGACCGGGAACCATATAAGGAACACCGCCTACCTCTATACGTCAAACTACATCCACGAAATTCCTTCAATCAACTCCTATTCCACCACCTACTACATATTCAAACTTGTAAGAATTTTTAGGTTATGTAATTACAATACCTCACCAACAATTAATCGATAAGAGCCATTTTATTTTTATCTTAATTTATTTTTCTCTTAGCATGTTTTGTATTTTTCTTCATATCTTTTTGTAAATATTTGTATTTGGTCTACATACCAGACTGATATATATATATATATATATATATATATATATATATATATATATATATATATATATATATATATCAGTCTGGTATGTAGACCAAATACAAATATTTACAAAAAAATATGAAGAAAAATACAAAACATGCTAAGAGAAAAATAAATTAAGATAAAAATAAAATATATATATATATATATATATATATATATATATATATATATATATATATATATATATATATATATATATATTGTTTGAACTCTGCTATTATTCTAAGGGAACTTTAGTCCCAGAATAAAATTATTTTTCATTTCATATAAGGTCATTCAAACAATGAGTACCTGGAAACAGTACCCAGTCCAAAAACAAACATTACTTTTAGAGTCTACATTGAGCTCCCTACAAGATCAATTCTCAAAAAAATCTTAGTTTTCAATTCCAGTATTCGAAGAAAGTGAACCAACTTTATATCCCAGTACCAATTATCACATTAGACAGCAATCCCTCTTCCTAATGCATTTGATGTATAATGGAAATCAGTGAAACATGTTTAATCATATATACAATATAATATTTCCAAGGTAGTCTCCTCAATTCAATACATAAACTTTAAAGTAAAAGTTTAATTAATAAATGCTTTGCTTGTTCCATTGGAAAATACCTCCAGTTTAATAGTTAAGCGATAAGACATAGCTGTCACTGAACTTATATTGATCTATTACTGTACTCACTCAAGATCTATTTGTTAGATGCATTAAAGAAACGGTTAGTAGTTCTTTCACTAAGAGTAGTATATCACTGAGAGTACAGAAGTCATGTCTGGATATTTTTATTTTTTAATTATTAATTAAATATATATATATATATATATATATATATATATATATATATATATATATATATATATATATATATATATATGTGTGTATCTTTCTTTTTTTTATTTCTTAGTGATTACATACTACTTTTTAAATAATGTATATAATATTAGAATTTTTATAAGTTCTATATATTGTATATATACAATATAATATTTCCAAGGTAGTCTCCTCCATTAAAAACACAAACTTTAAAGTAAAATTTTATTTAATAAATGCTTAGCTTATTCCATTGGAAAATACCTCCAGTTTAATAGTTAAGCGATAAGACATAGCTGTCACTGAACTTATATTGATCTATTACTGTACTCGCTCAAGACCTATTTGTTAGATGCATTAAAGAAAAGGTTAATAGTTCTTTCACTAAGAGCAGTATATCACTGAGAGTACAGAAGCCATGTCTGGATATTTTTATTTTTTAATTATTAATTAAATATATCAAAAAGTATCTTTCTTATTATCCGAAGTGTCCTTAGAGTTATTCTCCACTACCCACTTTTTCAATACATTTTTTTTAGTTTGTGGAAGACAATATACAAAAGCAATATTTTAATTTTTAAAACCTTAACACGTGATAAGTATCCCATTTCAACTATAGCATTTAAGAGGTATGCAGCAAGAGTTACGATTTTTCTACTAAAACTGTACATTTTTGGACCTTCAAACACAGAGCCCGATAGTTGCTTCAGAACTATACCAAGCCTTAATGACTGTATCAAAATGTTTAACTAGTAGTATTTAAATATTTTAATATTCAATCAATCCCATTTCGGTTCATTACTATTGAAACCATCGATGTTTTTAAACTTCCCAATTTTTTCAATTACTTTTACTAGAGTTGCTGAAGGAATTTAAGGATCAATGATGATATTCGTCACTTCTCCATGAATTTTCCTTTCGTTTGATTCTTCATTTACCAATATCCATCGCTCCCGAGAGCTGGGAAAGAGATCTATACTACTGTATTATATATAGTGCAGATGGCTACTTAGTTAATAGAACAAAAAAAAAAATAAATAAATAAAAAAATGTAAGAAATGAAATCATTACAATTAAGATAAAAATAAATTAAGATAAAAATAAAATATATATATATATATATATATATATATATATATATATTGTTTGAACTCTGCTATTATTCTAAGGGAACTTTAGTCCCAGAATAAAATTATTTTTCATTTCATATAAGGTCATTCAAACAATGAGTACCTGGAAACAGTACCCAGTCCAAAAACAAACATTACTTTTAGAGTCTACATTGAGCTCCCTACAAGATCAATTCTCAAAAAAATCTTAGTTTTCAATTCCAGTATTCGAAGAAAGTGAACCAACTTTATATCCCAGTACCAATTATCACATTAGACAGCAATCCCTCTTCCTAATGCATTTGATGTATAATGGAAATCAGTGAAACATGTTTAATCATATATACAATATAATATTTCCAAGGTAGTCTCCTCAATTCAATACATAAACTTTAAAGTAAAAGTTTAATTAATAAATGCTTTGCTTGTTCCATTGGAAAATACCTCCAGTTTAATAGTTAAGCGATAAGACATAGCTGTCACTGAACTTATATTGATCTATTACTGTACTCACTCAAGATCTATTTGTTAGATGCATTAAAGAAACGGTTAGTAGTTCTTTCACTAAGAGTAGTATATCACTGAGAGTACAGAAGTCATGTCTGGATATTTTTATTTTTTAATTATTAATTAAATATATATATATATATATATATATATATATATATATATATATATATATATATGTGTGTATCTTTCTTTTTTTTATTTCTTAGTGATTACATACTACTTTTTAAATAATGTATATAATATTAGAATTTTTATAAGTTCTATATATTGTATATATACAATATAATATTTCCAAGGTAGTCTCCTCCATTAAAAACACAAACTTTAAAGTAAAATTTTATTTAATAAATGCTTAGCTTATTCCATTGGAAAATACCTCCAGTTTAATAGTTAAGCGATAAGACATAGCTGTCACTGAACTTATATTGATCTATTACTGTACTCGCTCAAGACCTATTTGTTAGATGCATTAAAGAAAAGGTTAATAGTTCTTTCACTAAGAGCAGTATATCACTGAGAGTACAGAAGCCATGTCTGGATATTTTTATTTTTTAATTATTAATTAAATATATCAAAAAGTATCTTTCTTATTATCCGAAGTGTCCTTAGAGTTATTCTCCACTACCCACTTTTTCAATACATTTTTTTTAGTTTGTGGAAGACAATATACAAAAGCAATATTTTAATTTTTAAAACCTTAACACGTGATAAGTATCCCATTTCAACTATAGCATTTAAGAGGTATGCAGCAAGAGTTACGATTTTTCTACTAAAACTGTACATTTTTGGACCTTCAAACACAGAGCCCGATAGTTGCTTCAGAACTATACCAAGCCTTAATGACTGTATCAAAATGTTTAACTAGTAGTATTTAAATATTTTAATATTCAATCAATCCCATTTCGGTTCATTACTATTGAAACCATCGATGTTTTTAAACTTCCCAATTTTTTCAATTACTTTTACTAGAGTTGCTGAAGGAATTTAAGGATCAATGATGATATTCGTCACTTCTCCATGAATTTTCCTTTCGTTTGATTCTTCATTTACCAATATCCATCGCTCCCGAGAGCTGGGAAAGAGATCTATACTACTGTATTATATATAGTGCAGATGGCTACTTAGTTAATAGAACAAAAAAAAAAATAAATAAATAAAAAAATGTAAGAAATGAAATCATTACAATTAAGATAAAAATAAATTAAGATAAAAATAAAATATATATATATATATATATATATATATATATTGTTTGAACTCTGCTATTATTCTAAGGGAACTTTAGTCCCAGAATAAAATTATTTTTCATTTCATATAAGGTCATTCAAACAATGAGTACCTGGAAACAGTACCCAGTCCAAAAACAAACATTACTTTTAGAGTCTACATTGAGCTCCCTACAAGATCAATTCTCAAAAAAATCTTAGTTTTCAATTCCAGTATTCGAAGAAAGTGAACCAACTTTATATCCCAGTACCAATTATCACATTAGACAGCAATCCCTCTTCCTAATGCATTTGATGTATAATGGAAATCAGTGAAACATGTTTAATCATATATACAATATAATATTTCCAAGGTAGTCTCCTCAATTCAATACATAAACTTTAAAGTAAAAGTTTAATTAATAAATGCTTTGCTTGTTCCATTGGAAAATACCTCCAGTTTAATAGTTAAGCGATAAGACATAGCTGTCACTGAACTTATATTGATCTATTACTGTACTCACTCAAGATCTATTTGTTAGATGCATTAAAGAAACGGTTAGTAGTTCTTTCACTAAGAGTAGTATATCACTGAGAGTACAGAAGTCATGTCTGGATATTTTTATTTTTTAATTATTAATTAAATATATATATATATATATATATATATATATATATATATATATATATATATATATATATATATATATGTGTGTATCTTTCTT